ATAAAATAATAAAATACGAGAATATCTTGGATTAATCACAAGATATTGAGAACGAATTTAACGATTAAAGTTATAATTCAGATAAATTGAAATAAAATAGATTCTAACGACACTTTATTATTCGATTTTTATGCCAATTATTGTGTAAGATTTTTTGTTATAATTTAGAATGATAAATGCAATGTATAGCGTTTAATATGGCTTGTTAATTTCTGTTGATATTTTCACTATTTTTTCTTTTTTTTTACATTTTCTATTATCTTAAATTCAATTTGCTTTCACAAGGTGTTATAAATTCGATGTTAAAATATGTATACACATTTTTCCACTGATTATCTGAACGCTTACAATTTTTTTAATTAGGGGAATTTGTTAGGAATAATCATTTTCTTTGCTTTATTTTTGTCGGTAAGATTGCACTTTGCGAATGATACCTTTTATCGGCTCTGAGCTATACCGGGCGACAGCTGTTTCTTGATTTGGTCGCCGATGGCGGTAACGACAACAATGCAATTTCTCCCATTGCGATCTCACGATTATCGACCGCGTGGCGGTTTCGTTATCCACATTTATTCTGATTTTGAAAATATCGAGCGATGAATTCTATTAATCTTTCAATTTCTGTTTTATTCTTATAGTAAAATAGAATAAAACATTTTTGAATTTGTGTCCAGACATTTGTATATCACAATTATTTGTTAAAAGTTATTTAAATAGTTTATACAACTTGTTGAATGGTTAAAAAATCCAAGACTAGATTTAAAGAAAAAATCGTAAACCAGAAGTGAAAGCATGGACATCGTGTGCATATTTCATAAAAGATGGATTAGTTTTACGACTCGCGAACTCGAGGGTCAGAATGTTCGGCAGCCCGTTGCACACGTGTCCCGATACAACTCCGGATATCGGCGGTGACCGGAAGCCATCGCGGCGCGAATTCTTTGTGCTTAGAATTGGAAGTCACGGAGGTGTGAATTTTAATATCATCGCATCGAAGCGAGGAAGAAAACGCTTTTCGCGCGAATGGGCGCGGGAATTCTTGCGGATTCCGCGCGGCATACGGCTTTTGGCTATGCTTCGGCGAATCTTAATATCTCGTCGAACGTGTCCTTTATAACGCCTTCGTGGTATTTTATCTCTTCAAATCTGGGATCACGCCGGGCGATGATGTCGTCGACCACGCGAAACGGGCATGCTGGTCGAACCCGCGATTTTATTTGCGAAGATTTCACTTGAGGAATCCGCAATAAATGACACGAATGTATCTGAAATCTTACGATATGCGAAATATTAAAAATATAATAAAATTTTTTAAAATCCAAAAAGTAATTAAATCTATAAACTTTGAAAAGTTGCACTTATATCTTTATCAAATTCTCTTTCTTGGATTAAGTCTTTACTTTGGAGAAAACGCAAACCGACAAGTAAGAATGCACGCGTTTTGATTAAGATACCGCGCAATTTTAATTGGAATCGTCGAGCCGGAAAAGATTCATATATTTCCAATTCTAGAGACGCGAATGTGTTAATGAGAAAACAGAATGACGGTTAGCGGAACACACAAATAAGCGTTGGTGAATTCGTTAGCAGGCATGAGTGCAATCATCGAACGCGGCGCGAATATAATAATTTTAATTTGCACCTTACGCACGTATTCGCGCTCCTCTCTTTCTCTCATTTTATACTTGCCTAATGACTTTCGTCGTAATTATTCGACGGCGCTTCATCATCACTAACATATAATTAAAAGTCGAAAGTGAATGCGTGGTGAACTATTAGGATGACGACCACAAAGCGCGAGTTCTTGGAGAGATATGAGCTTTGTTAAGTCTTAAATTAAATCGTTCTTGGTTCGCATATTCTCTTTTCTCAGCAATTAAATTTAAGAGAGAGCGTGAATAAAATTTATTCCTAGCAAAGATTCAGGATTTATACTCATATTTTTATATTGACTGACAATTTTATTTTTGGTAATAATTCAGTAGCAAGGATGATGTTTATAAATCTAAATTTAATAGTAAAATTCAATGGCAAATGCAAAGATGATTGTGTAATTAACGATAAAGAAAAATATTTGTTGATTGTAATTTTTATGTAGAATTTAATTTTTTTTATAACTATTTAATAATAAAGATAATGTTTAATTTTTTAAATTGTAAATATTGAAAATAGTAAATTATTTTGTATATAAATGTGTTTAAATATTTTGTCGTCGTATTTAGGAACGATCGGCAATATAGATTTTTCTTTTAACATCGGTGCTGCGACGTATAGATGGCGTCGCTGACGTGACAATAGAATATTTCGAGCAACATGCGCTGAAGCGCCATTAAACGCTCACACAATTTTGCGAGTTGGATGTCTAGATATCTTGTTTAAACATTTGTTTATCATTGTTGCTTGAAAAATTTGATAGTGAAAAATCCAAGTTATCAGACGCAGCTATAATGCACGAATGTTAGACACGGCGACGCTTCTAACCCGAAAATGCTCGTCCCGGAAGTGGCAAGCATCAATGATGCTCGGATATACGTTACGAGTTGAAAAATCTGTACAATCGATATATCGACCTAAGGATTTCGCACGTGTTTGTTCATTCGTCCGTTTGTTCCGGTGGCAGAACATACAGAACGGGACAAAAATGCGATCTGGTTGTAACACGAAAGTAACGAGTTATGCCGGCGATGCGCGTCTGCGACGACGACGATTGTGCTTGGCGAAACGTTTTTCACCACAAAGGAGAAATTCCGTCGAGTTCGCGATCGAGAGATCCATCCGTACTAGAATGAACGCGGAGAGATCCTCGGACAATAGGGAGTCGTCTGCGAAAGAATTGATACAGATAGGAAAGCTTCTTAAGTTAATGCCTCGTGGCTACTGTTGCTGACAAACATTTCTTTCCCTTTCATCGGGGTATATTGCACTTGACCGTTCCATCTCGGTCGAAAGAGGTACGATTGGAAAACAAATTCAAGAATTACTTATTATTGTCTGAGAACATTATGGAATGCTGTAAGTGCACCATTGTCGAGAAATTGCCTGATATCAAGGATTTATACTGCTATATAAATATTGCTGTGCTATGCTAATATAAATATTGCATTTTCAGTCATTAATTGTGAAAAATAGATGTGTTAATTTATGCAGTGTTCAAGTTGCTTGTCATTTGTGAAAAAAAAAACAGTGCCCAAAAAGATTTGTAAACAATTTTCAGTGCTAATATAATCTTTCATTGTTATGATGTGACAACAAAGCAAGTGATGCATATTTAAAATCAAGAAATCTTAATATAATCTTTCTATACTATATGCAATATAGGTTAATTATGGAATTCTTTGTTATATATTTTAAAGATGTGTTTATAATCAATCTTATAAAAGCTGGTAATACCAGAGGAAGTGAGACAGGGGGTCTTGATTCTCATAAGAATGATGCGTGGAACTTGTTTCAACGAGGCATTTCACTTGGAGTCAGAGTCAGAGTCAGCGTAGTACGCAAGGATTCTAGATTCTACTACCCCTACTCCATCGATATCAATGTGGCGTCAGTCCTGGTCAGGACGCAGCCTTGGTTCAGTGTACCTCCAGCAGTGCTATCGTAGGCATCTCGCAGGCTATATCTTTGTAATCTAGACAAAGAGAAATTTTGTTGTGGTATTTGTGATACGAAATCACTCTACTTCTGTCAGAATCATAATATCCTTGTTTACTTAACAAACTTGAGGGCTACCTGTGTGTTGGTTTCTCCGCCAAAATGGTATGTACTCTGATTCTTCTCTTTTGATTCAGGTAAATGTGCAGTGGAGCAAGATGATTCATTATGACAGCTTCTCATTTCATATTTCTTCCCTCTTATGGGTAGGGATCAAATTTCCACACTTTATTGGAGAGCTTCCTTTTCTTTTCAATAGCCCTACAGTAGTAGTGGTACAGTTATTCAGAACTATTAACTCATTATTTATTGAAAATCAGTTATGTGGACATCTGTCATGTAATTTGTGTACTTTTGTGACTAAATGAAAATTATTTCTGTATTGTAATTCAATATTATATATACAGTGTGTAATATTTCAATCTTTTAGTATAATATATGTATTTTGTTTACATTATGCAGTGAAAACGATGTTAATTAATTCTATATGAGAGGGGTAATATGTTTTGCTTAAGGGATAGTTGCACATTTGCCACTTAGGGTAAGATGCAGTCCATATGAACCATATTTCTATACCCTGCCACAACAAAGGGGCAGGCCCTGAGGGGTATAATGGCCTTTTCTTCCACGGCTTGCCTTACCTCATGAACCTATTAATATTTTTCCGCTATGTTAGAGCTCGATTTCAATTAATAGAGGATATTAAAACTCGTGAGATAGCTCTAGACATTTTTTGGAGTGGCGAGAGCGTTGAATGGATTGTGTTATAGGTTTTTGTGGATCAATACCACACAAATGGTCTGCGCAACAGACCAATAGGGGTTGTGCATATATACATGTACACGCAGAAATGCATCTCTCTGCGCAGCCTGCCAGGAGATGGCCTATAGGTCCTCTGCTACGCTCCACCCTTAGCTCCTGACAACAGAAGAAACTCCCTTAGCTGGTTAATTGAGAGATATGACTCACCGCAGAGCTCCATCGATCCAGCACCCCAGATTTCCTTTCTTTGTTAACATATATCAGCTCTCTGCTCTTTCGCAGAGGCAGAGCCACGTTGAAATCAATAATATTTAATAGATATATGCTATAAGTGACAGTACAAGACACATAATATTCATTTTTACTTCAATTTCTATCTCTATTTTTGTTTCTTTTATAATGTAGCTCATTAACTATTAAGATTGTAGTAGTATAAATGACTATAGATTGTGTTATTGAAGTTAAATGACAGATACCTCTCTACAGCTGTCAGTTTGATATTTTTACTTGAATACATTATCTATCTTACTGTAAGAATACAAAGTGTTGTGACAGCCAGACTTATATCCACTTATTTATTCTTTCAGGCTGGGGCTAACCATGTCCACTAAGAGACACCGTGGGCGAAAATTACGTGGAAATAACAAAATAGCACATGAGGGCCATAATAGATAGGATGAGTGCATCTAGGCAAAACGAAGCACGTAGCTTTAATGAGAACTCTCCTAGACCACCAGTGCCAGGTAAAAACTGGAGCAAACTTAAATGAAAGAGCAGAAGCAATTACATGCTAATGCACATTAGAAAAAAAAATTCATGTGAGAATATTGCTTACATTTTTTTAAAAGCGCAAACGTAGTGTTAAAATTTCGTTATATTCTGTCTGTGACATATTTATAAGATCAAGAAAAGATCTTTAAATACAATAAATTATATTCATATGCTTGAAATATGTTACTCTATAATAGAATATATATTACCATTCTCAAAATTGTATTCTAGTTGAATCCTTGCGTGTTCCAGGAGAGGAAACGGTAAGCTATGTCAGCCGGATCCGTCCACAGAGTCCCGCTCTGACACCCAGACGCTCTTCTTTCGCGACGCCGCAGGTCTCCAGCGGTGGCTGTGATGCTTCCGCGCCGTTGGGATTCGAGCCGGAAGGTTGCTGCGGAACCACTACCATGGAGAGCGATTCGCCTCCCGCTTACGCAAGGTGGGCGAGAAATCTGCACTCCCTGCTGGAGGATCCGGTGGGTCTGGAGCTGTTCAAGAGGTACCTGGATCAGGAAGGGCATGTGGACCCGCTCAATTTCTGGTTCGCCTGCGAGGGCCTCAAGGAGCAGAAGGACATGGAGAAGATCTCGCAGCTGGTGAAGCTCATCTATCGGCGGTTTTTCCTCAAGTCGCAGCTAACTATACCGGAGGACGTTATGAAGGAGGCAGACCGGCGAGTCAAGGAGGGTCGCACCGATCAGAAGGTGTTCGACATCGTGCAGCTCGAGGTCGAGCGGCTGATCAGCGAGACGACGTATCCCAACTTCCTTCAGTCCGACGTGTACCTCCAGTACGTGCAGTCCTGTCAACATCAGGACTCCGGCGGCTGTCCGAGCTCGGGCTCGGGCAGTCGCGAGATGTCCATCTCGTGCGGACAGAGTCTGCTGCCCACCGTGCACGAGGACAGCGAGTACGTTCACGGCGCCATGCATAATTCGCACTCGGTCGGCGGGACGCCCGGAGAACTGAGGGAACTAAGATTGACCAAAGATGTCCTGATGGCCACCCAGCAGAGTAGAGCGATGGATTTACGGCCGAGGCCAGAGGCGTACGCCGGGTAAATGCGCTTTCCATTGAGCTACCGAATCTTCCATCATTTTGTATAAAATATCATTCGTCATTTGTATAGTACGCTTCAAATCATTCCTGCGATGAATGCTTTAACAACGCTGTCGTTTCCTCCTTTGACGCTTGATACGATGAGACTTGCACAATCTGGATTATACTTTAAGTTTACATTTTATTACCGTTTTGATTCTCGAAAACGATTGACATCGCCAAGTGATAAATTTGCTACCCGCCCCCCCCTCCCCCGCCCCTAAAATAACGTTTTTGATAGTTTGTTCAATTATATGCGAGATCGTTTTTCTCTGTTTGCAAGATAACCCCCGTTTTTTATTTGTCGTTTATTTAGTTGTTTTTGTTTTGCTGTTTTGCGTGGCATTTGTAGCGTTTACTTGCAACATGGGACTAGTCCATATCACATGCACGTATCCAGATTGCACGCACAATATTCCTCCTACAACCCGGTATCCAGACAGGATTCCGAGCTTCAGAGTTTGAGCAGTGATGCACGTACCGAGGTGGACAATATGTCCCTCAACGACGGATCCATGTAAGTTCTTTTCTTAATTCTACAGAGCCTTTTTTTCATTTTTAATCAGAGACAATGGAATTTCTTCAATAATTCTTATCTTAATCATTAAATCGTTTTTTCAATTCATACCATTTAACGTCATGCTGAATTAATATTAACAGTATTATATCATTAATCCGTACATATATGTTTCATTTGCCGCCCGTAGCGACGGAACGAGCAGCAGGCAGAAGACCAAAAAGCAATACGCAAAGCAATCTAGCAGGGCGATCAAGGAGTCCGCGAATATCAATCGCGAGTTCATGGTACACCACGTCGTCCCGCGAACCCAGCGCATGGCGTCCCCGAAGCAGATGCCGCCGAAACAATTTGCGGAGATGCTCACACACAAATTAGAAATTCTGGCGCGAGAACAGAAGACCCAGGAGAAACTGGACAAGTACTTGCAACAGGAGAACGACGCCGAGAAGCCGGTGGAGACGTCAGGCGGAGTGCAAAAGACTCTGGACGATGCGCTGAATGCGAAATTGAATTCCATAGAAGAGGACAATGATCAGGCCATTCTCGACGAGCACGTGTCTCGCGTTTGGTCGGATCAGACGCCGTCAAGATCGCCCAGGCTCTCGCCCGACATAAGGCGTCCCGCGCACAATTATCTACGGCCTTACAAACAGCGAAAAGAAAAAGACGTGGATTCCACGTTCTCGGTGGACAGCGGTAATATACACGACTTTCCGGAAGGCAGCGATCTCGTCGGAGCTGGTTCCATGAGTTCACTAGGTTCACACCTGCCAAAATCGAAATCCGTGCCATCCGATTACGCCGACTCTCTCCACAAACAAGATCTGTATCTTCAAGGTAAATTGAACAAAGCGGAGTTAAGCGTTAGATGCACAAGTCGCATTATATACACCTTTGAGGTAAATTTAAGCAAACGGAGCTGCGCATTATTTTATTGTTATATATATATATAAATCGAATTATGCAAAATTATTATTAATGCCAAATATCTTCGCGCAGGTCACGAGCAAAGATTTCGAAGGTCAGATGCAACGAGACGATCTGCCACGAAGAAATCGATGACGGAGTTAACGGACAGTGGAGTGAGTGTCGTCAGCGACGTGCCGCCTTCTATAAGCAAAGACATTCGTCTGCCGCCGCGATTTAAGGAAGCGGACAAGAAGGTGGAACTGAAGCACAGTAGTCGTCACGGAAAGAGGTACGGTTCACGTAGTGGATCCTTAGAAAGGCCGAACAGAGAAACGTGGAGTATGGGAGTACCTGCTCAACCGTTCGTCGCTGATCCGGGAATGCCGCCTTTGACACCACCTCACACGGTAACGCTCGGAGCTATGTCTTCTTTTTTTTTCTCTCTCTCTCTCTCTTTAACGAACAATCTATATATTACGAATGTACGTGTTGCAGGTTATACAATTAGAGGAGACATGTAGAAGACTAATGGAGGAGAATAGAATACCGCGTGGCAGTTTCAAGCAACGGCACTTCAATGTTTCCAAACAGGCTTACGAGTCCGCGGCACAGAGCCAACCGTACGTGCAGTCCAACCAGTCGACATTGAGAAAGCCGAAACAGGATACGGGCGATTTCACCACTGTTGTGTTCAGTTTCTGTGACGAACAGTTCCCTTACAGGACCAAGATTCCTGGTCACAACGTCACTTTGAAGCAATTCAAGGAGTATCTTCCGAAGAAAGGGAGCTATCGGTAATGAGCATCATCGATCTCGTCGTCACTTTGTAGTAATCATCCAATTCTAATTAAAAATTATCTTCAATTGCAGGTACTTCTTTAAAACTGAGTGCGAGGACTTAGACACGAAAGTCATACAGGAGGAAATAACGGACGATACTGAGATCCTGCCATTGTGGGAGGGCAAAGTGATGGCGCAAGTTAAGGCGCTCGAGTAAATAGACTGAATAAAACACAACCGAGCGAGAATTGCGCGAATTTTGACCAAGTGCCGCAATAAATATTATTTAAGAGATCCGTCACTAGCCGGCAAGCCGACGCGTTCGGTATTTATACATATATACATATTAACGCTTGTTATGCGGCCTCTTTCTCTTATAATTGCCTAAGAAAGTAGTTTTAATGGATGAAAAAGAAGAAAAATATCGAGTCGAGCAATATCGTTGTATGCATAAATGTTGCGGAGAAGAAAGAACGGCCTCATGTCAAATTTTATCGATTGAATGTCCTCGGAGGAATAATTTCCCTACTTCTCGGTTGCAAGTTTTTTTCTTTTTTTTTGGTCAAATTTACAGTTTTATTCAGACAAGAGACAAACGCATTCTCTTATTATCGAAATTATTTTATCGATGAAATAACAGCAGCGGCTCGCGCGACTGCGCTTTATTGTACATAACTAGTATTAGCGATTTTCGATTTTCGACGACAAACAACATTGCGCGCGTTTCGTCGGTGCGGGCTTTGCCAGATGAAAATTATCGTACTTTCGTCTGATTTTGGTAGCGGCATTTTCACAGCGATAGGTTTTGGGATGATAAACGGTAACAATGCGCCGAAGTGAGGAAACGCATTGCTGACCGACTGAACAATTTCTTCCTCCCGAAGACTTCCCACATAGTTCTCCAAACGACTGTACAAAGATGCGTATAGTTGATCGCCTTAGTAAGATTCGCGTAGACACTAAACTCACTTAGGAGAGGATAATTATTACGAATTATGGCGCCTAAGAAAGTGTATTACGTGTATTTTACGTAAATGAGATATGTCTTGTTTAATATACGTAATATATTTTACACGTGCGATCCGTGAGAAGTATGACATTGGAAAACAAATCGCAAATCATGTTTTTCTTTTTCGTTGTGCCACCGTCATCGTCGTATCATTCGCCATCCATTCGACATTGTGAAATAAGCTCACCAAGCATAGCCTAATGCACGGCGATTTGTAGTATATGTATGTATGTACGTATCAGCAACATGCAATTGGCATCGAGACGGTGAACATCGGTGGGAAAAAAAAAAAATAGAAAATCGTTAGCATTTAGATTGTAATGATGTTTTATCAGGTGCGGAAATATGTGCCTTTTTAGTGCAGTAAGATCGAAATAAGCCTAAAGAGAGAAGGTAAGAGATATTTATAAATTGCAGTACAGGGGCCCAATTCCCGAAAAAGAAAAAAAAAACGATGTCCGATGTTACATTAACGTTTCCTCAAAGTGTACTTTGTTATCAAGATTGTTTTTGTTTTTCTAAATTCCGCCTTGTATACCGAATCCGCCCGTAGCATTCTGTTTAATCCTTTCAGTCCTCTAGCCTTCTTAATTGTACAAATTTTATTTCTACTTATACGCTGCAAATTTCGTGAAGACTTGTATCGAAATGTCCGATTTTGTATTCTAATAAAGATCATAAAAATGTAAAACTATATTTTATTTGTTATTTATTTATTATTTGTTTCTCAATTTATAAGAAAAAAAAAAACATCGTTCTCCAGTTAATTTGGATTTCGGCTAACGCCAAAAAAAATGGGATGACAGAGATTTTTTGTTTAATTCAAGACTGAAAGGATTAAATCGTAATATATAGTGGTATAATCAAGAGACACGGTCGTGCGCCAATATAAATTCACGAGAAACTTATTCAATAATTTTTAACTCTCAAAACGGACTGTTCTTCATCAACGTAAACCGAACTCGTAGATCTATTTTTTCCGCGCCTTGTTAAGTACCGTTAATGGGCTCAAAAATTCACGTAAGTTAATTGAAGTGTTAATTAGAAGCCCAAATTATAAAATTAAATAGTTTATTTATTGAATATTTGGTTTTTCATTGAGGAACAAATCTCAAGTAGTTAAAATCGCTTGGACATTTTTTACTTGAGTCCGTTTTGAGGGTTAATTAATGCGATTTACAATTTGCTAAAATTTATTTTCTACACGTGATCTTTGTGGAAAATCGAAAGGAAAATAAAATTTAATGATTATGTATACTGTTTATTTGAATATTAGATCACGTCGTCGCAAATCGGTACTAAAGGTGGCGTGATTAATTTTCAATCATATATAATTGATCATCATCCATTAATATCACGATAAAGTGTTCCTGTACCTAATTAATTAATGATTATTATTGTATATCAAAAATATTAAGAATAATAATGCGATTTTCACTGGATCATATATACTGTTGTACATCTTTAGGAATTTTTCTGTAATCCTGCACCTTCGCTAAATAATGAAACGTATATCGTTATCAAAGGGAAATATTTTTTCTAATTAATGATATTAATTAGAAGATTAATAATTTTTATCCGTAGATATTAAAGAAAACGTCTCTCTCAACAGAGGAAATAATCGATCCACTATCACGTTTCCCATCAAATCAAGCGCAGCATAAAGCAGACGAGACTGGACGTATGGTATATTAATAGCTTACTTATTGTTTTTTTTTAGCAATTTTATATCAAGTTCAGTCCACGGACGTCTTATTGAGCATTTCTGTGATCATTGAGTGTCTTAATTTTTCATATTTCGACATTGGAGAGGTATAAAGAAAGATATACAAAGTACAATTAAGACGAATAGTTATATTTTAGATATATACAAAGTTGATTGATTCAATAATACATTTATTTTTTTCATTCCTTCTCTTGTTACAAACTTAGATTTTACACTAACAATAAGAGTATATTTTACAAAATTTGTTTTTTGTTCGTTCGCGAAACTTAATTATATGAAATATTCTTTGACAGTAAGTATATACTCTTAAAAAATATGTGTAAATATATAATGTAAGATAAAAGATATTGAGCATTTTTTCTTAGAAAGATCTATCGAACAAGAAAAGTACACTGTTTATTCTTATTTCTAAGTAATAAAAATTTTGTGCGGAAGTATTTATAGTCTTTAACGAAAAATCTCTCACACGCACAAATTAGAATCGTATTTCGATATACGAGGACAAGTCAGAGGGCTATTTAAAGAGCGAAACATGGATCAAAATAATCTACATTAAAATGTAGTTAATTTGGAAGAACTTGTGAAATAAAAAAAAATAAATCTTTATTTTTCTGACTTTTCCTCGTACAATGGTGTTTATTCTTCGATTGCACTGACGTTTAAATGTTTAATTTGAATCGGCGATGAGAATTGTTTGCAAATGGAAGAAAATAAGGAACCTGATGTAAGATTTATTCTTACATCGATAATTATATATAACTAATTACAACTCGAAAGATCACTGTGGTGCTGGGTAAGCGGGATTATATGCAGCCTGTTTTGCATACGCCTCATTGGTGTATGGTGGCGGTTGTGGCATTCCTAAAAAGTTAGATAAAAATTATTAAATATCAAAAATTTTAGAAAAGAAGCTGATGCGTGTTTATTCTTTATATCTTTTAAAAAACTCTAAGAAATATCAAAGAAAAAAATCAATATATATCTTTCACATATCTTGGCGACGATTCTCAATATGCTTGTCGGTGCATCGATTAAGTGAAAAATTAGAATTTAGCAATATAGATACATATAAAAATTTTGATCACAAGTACCTGTCGAGTTCGTCGGATATGGAGAAGTATAATTGCTTTCGACCGGTTGACTGGGATAGCTTGGTGGAAGATTCTGGGGTTGAATTACTTGCACAACGGGAGGCTGAACTTCTGTAACAAATACTTGTATACCAAGTGTAAAGAGACACTGAAGATAAGTTTGTCTCAGAGACAGCAAGCAAATTAACAACTGTTCGTACAAGAATAGAATAAAATCAGGAAAACAAGATGTATAATGTATTAAAATTTATTAAATCGATTTTAAATAGAAAAAGCAATGTTCAATTATGGCAAAAATTAAATGATCTAATAATTCGTGTTTAGATTTGTACCTTCGGTGCATAGATATTTTATTAATTGAAGGAATGTCATATTGTAATATGGATGTTTGCGATAAGTTTGGTGATGTATTAAATAATTTTAATTAAGTTTTTATACAAAAGTGTATATATTTATTAAATATCATATAATGGTTTTTGAGACACACAACTTGCATGTTGAATACAATATTTAATTAGCGATTCTAAACTTAGGCAAGTTTAATTATTAGTATTATAAAGCTTAATGTTAAATAAATGAGCATTGAAAGGAATGTTTATTTGCACGTACGTTCGTATAGCACATACTGGATGGATTCAAATGAACTACTATTATCAAAGGCGATTTACGTACACACAAAATGTTCCATATAAACTTATATCTTAACGATAAATAAAGTAAAAATAAAATCACCTTTATACATTTCACAGCTGGTATCGCAATACTAAAAAAAATATCTCATAAAATAGATATTTATAATTTCTTATCACACATATGATGATTATATGGAACATCTTGTAAGTATGAAGTCAATTGTACATTAAGTACATTTCGGAATAAAATACGCTTAACGCTACGCGAACTGTCAACAAAAATACGACTATTAAAATCGTAATTAGCGGAATGCATAAAAAATTTAGGAACATAACGTTCTTCGTGCGTTTTGGCTTCGTTTTTACTAAGCAAGTTATCTTATGTCTACAAGCAGATTCTTCGTGAAAGTAATATATCAGTCTGATCACCTCGCTTTAACTTAATATCTTTTATAAAAATATGTAGCGAAGAGGGATGGTAATACTGTGTAAAAAAATAAAAAAAAGTCGGCGCTATATAGGAGCTCTTAAAAGGCGTTCTTAAAGAGAATCTGTTTGGACCTATATTTAAGGAATATATAAAATACGTTTTTCACGAACATTATCTTAATGCGAGATTACATATAAGAAGCAGAATATAAATAATCGTTTAAAAAGGTTTTGAGTCCTGACATACAAATACATGGTTATCTTCACAGGACATTTGGAGAGTGTGCCATAATGGTATTATGCCACGGCTGATCCTAAAAAGAATTACGAATCCATTACTGGCCAATTAAAGATTCGTCGATACCTAATTGTATGATTAATGATAATTTATTAAACAGTGTGCTGTGTTCGATTTTATTACGTAGAAGCATTTGGAATTATCTTGTACATGCACTTCGACATGAAGACCATTGCCGCTGTCTCTGATATAAATTATTTATGACATTCATTGATTAAATTCATTCCTACGCAAATAAAAATATTGTGTTATGACGAATTTAACATTAGGAAAATATCTGAATTTTGTAATGTAATATTTGAGATTCAAGGAAACTTACTTCCGTAGACGGTACCTCGGTGACGACGACGATACCACGGGCAGCAGCTGCAGCAGAGACAAGATACACAGCACACTATCAGTCCAAAAATGATAGCTGCGCCGATTATCACGAGAATGAGCATAGACAACCTAAAGCAATGATATCATTTTCCGTTAATATAAATATATAAAAGTATACGCGTTAATTTTTATACAAACTGCTTCCTTAAACAATTTTATTATTTGCTATACTATTTTAGCATTTCATGTAGGATAAGTAAATCAATACGTTCCTTGCCGCATGAATTTCATGTGATGTTCACCGATGACCCGTAACGGCATATTTATTATATTTGTTAAAATACATTTCACAATAAAAAAAATTACAGAAATTATTGTTATAAAGAAGAAGGCATAAGGTTACAAAATAGTATCAATACTGCACTATTCTTTTCAAATTGAAATATCAAACAGCTTGGAAAGTCAGAATGGAAAGTCTAACATCGTGAGTCACTGGTGACCCACGCGACACGGAACGTATTAAGAGATGCATACAAGAGATTGACGTTATATTGAATTAATATCAGTGAAAGTTGCACGACTTATTTTCAGCACATTGAAAGTATGTTATGAGCGATTATATGGCTTTACCCAGATTTTGCAAACTCCTCGACAGTACAACAGTAGTTATATTCACGTTGTATATCGAAACAGCAGTAAGACTTTTCCGGCGGATCAAAAGTTCTCGGGCATGTGCGAGAAATAGATCCAGTAACTTTATCAATTATGCTGTTTTTTTCGCCAACAGGACACTCCATTGCTGAAAATTAAACAATGTGTTAAGTGTTTTGTCGATATGAGGAAGGATGTCAGGAAGATTTTTTTTAAATTAAGCTTCAAACTTGGCGATAAAACTTATCTTCAAACGATTCCAAATAGATTTTAATTGAATATACTTTAATTTGGCGTTATTAAATAATATGTAATTATATTTTATTTATTTAATGCTCAGTTACACCGAAATGTCTGTTCATGAAAATTTCGGCTTTGCAGTGTGATTTTCAATCACAGTGTATTCAATTCGAGACCAGCACGTTGCGTTAAAGCTTAAGAATGCAGTTTACATTACTAACCGTAAACACACTATAAGTAACCAAGATTAGATGTCTATAACAAATGACGTTATTGTATTCCTAGAAAAAACGTGACCACCGTAAGCGAGAAACTATTTTCAAGAGCTTTGAAATCAATTTTTATTTCGAGCAGATCAAATGTTTTTTTCTTTGTGCTTGTAATATATTTTTTAACTTGCGTCAATCAGTAATACACGAGAAATGCACACGAATGAAGTTATCATGATCCGAGATACAAGAGTAAAGTAAGAATACACGAAATAATTTATCTTAGAATCTTTATAATTTTAAATATTTAAAGTTTCTAGATTTGTGACAATTTTACAAACACACGTATAATTAAAATAAACTTTAATCTATTAGAAATTGAATACTTCCTGTTTAAAGGCGTTCGATCGCCGTGCACATACGAGACTTGGCATGTATGCGAAAAGTATGCGAGGATACAAATGGAGGAATAATTGTAAGCCAGTGTTAGTTTAATTGCGGCTCTTTTTACGATTTACAAAAGCAAACGAGACATCAATTGAACTGTAGCGCGTATTAATCAACGCGCCAGCGAGATCAATATATGCAGTTAATATTACAGTCACTAAGCGGTTCGTTATCACGTAAGATCAGATTACAATTACAGATTACCGAAGTGTTTATTTAATATGTAATCCGAAGATTATGCATTAATGCTACAAGGAAAAATGCGACTTCATTGGAAGTGATGATTCGTACGTAAATTAGAGCTTATCTTATCTCGAGCACTTCTGGCGTCGACTCACTCATAAATGGATTTATTATTTTTACTCTTGATATAGAATGTTATGTATATGAAATAATATTATATTTATGCGGCGTAAAGAAATAATGCGGTCATTGGTAAAAGATACATTAATTGAAAAATACAGATAATTGATACAGAATAAATAAATAAAAGATACAGATAATTGAACTGTTTGAGAACCAAACTGTATAATCGCACTTTTGTTGCATGTTTAAAGTTTCACCGAGCGCCGCATAGTTTTCGAAAACCAAATTAATCTTTTTCATTAAAAAAATAGAGAATATTCTAAATATTACTGGAAGAACAGGAAGTGTTCAATCTCTAAGAATAGATTAAAGTTTCTTTTAATTATACGTGTGTTTGTAAAATTGCCACAAATCTAAAAATTTTAAATATTTAAAATTATGAAGATTCTAAAGTTAAATTATTTCGTGTATTCTTACTTCACTTTTGTATTATCCTGTGTCTCATATAAAAGCTGTTTTCAAATATCAAAACTAAAGTGAAAAATGAGACAAAGGAAGAGAGGAAGCGCGATAATGCTTGTTGGCACACAAATGGAATACGAAGCTCAAAAGTGCTTCTCGAGTCATTTTGAACATATTCTTGCAATCGCCCCTACGACACTCAAACAAAAATAAAAATTTAATTAAAAAAATGTAATATTGCAATCTTGAAAAAAATTATAAAATAAACCAATTTTTAATTAATAATATAACGATATTTAATTGTCTTTTAACAGTATTACAATATTTAATTATTTTTTATTTACTGATAGAAATTCGAACAAACTTTAATAAAATTCACAAAGCTACTCAAAGATTTCTTATCAGATATGCTATCTAAGTTCAATAATGATGGATAATTTATCAATAATGTTGCTTTTTTGTATGCATTTGATTGTATATCGCATTGTATCTTAAATATTAACAGAATTAACATATCTTTGTGCATTAAATTTACAATATTTGAGAAAATAGAATTAAATACGAATGCAACTAGGATTCATTTTGCAAATAATTGATATTATATTAGGGGTATACAAAAATTTCTATCTTGTTTATGTATAACTAGATCACTCCGAGAACAAAGATTTCTTTCATCGCGGCATCCATCTTTTGCCTGGAAACGTGGCAAAATGATGGACAAAGCCGGAAATATCTAATAAGCAAATCACCAATATATAATAAAACAAAGTAAATCTAATGTCATAAGTGTTCCAAAACAAACAAATATTTTAACACTAAATTGTTAAATTGTTTTAATATGATTTATCTGATAGTTTTGGGGGAGAGCCATGCTAACGCTAATGATATATAAGTTATATGTATTATATATGTATGTGTTGTATACAAGTCTTTTATCTGCATTGTGTTGACTAGCGCTTATAGTTTACATAATAAAAAGTACGTTTCAGATTTCTGTTCTTCTTATGCTTTTGTTAGCGGCATTATTTATCATTGCGACATGTTAGAGCAAAGGTCCCACGGATAATAGAGTCTAGTCGAGCTACACAAAGTCAGACACGCGCCGTGAGATTGGAATAATTTGCTATTGCTCACAATTCATCGTTCCTGTAATGCGTTAGTAAATAGGTCACGAGTTGAAAGGCTTGCCGGGTTACGAGTCCATTTACGAATGGATAAAAAAAATATAGTTCCATAGAGGATGAATCTATTAGCTGCAAATTACGAGCCAACCCACCGTGAGACCCACGCGACTCGTCCTAGTTCGTTACTTGCGAATCGAAGCTCTGATGAGCATAAACGAGCCACGCGCTGTAGAGCCCCAGTTTTACACGGTATACACACATATTCGCGCACATGCCACCCTCATCATATCCATTGGATTATTTCTGTCGGACGATCTCATTTTCTTACCTGCGCAAATTAATGCTGCTGCATGAACGATGATCAAAATGACTGCGTGGCGAAAGAGGTTCATTTTCATGCGTTTCACGTTATTCAAGAGTTTGGAAGCGTTAGTTGTCCGTTAGTCGGGTAAAATGCAAACGACAGCTAGGAACTACCCGAACCGAATGAAACGGATGACTAAGCGAGGAGAACAAGTGTGCCCAACAATGGTGACATCATTCTCTCCCACTTGCACTTTCGTGATAATTGGCGTAAGCGACTGACGCGCCGAGGTGGATGATCGCAATTTTATTTTGCGAAAGTGTAGCTATTTTATGTGCAGTAGATAAAGAAGGAAACTACCCACCGAGACCTTCTTTATCGACTACGCGTAAAAGAATACAATTCAGTCGATATTTTACATGCGATCGGTGAAATCGGTGATTAATAGAAAAAAAAAATTTGTCAATCATTTTGACTTCGTGAAAATATGTACAGATGGAAACACCAGTTCGTGTAATGGCGTTGTTCGAAATTACCGGACGAAGAGTTTGTCGGCGGCTGTCGCATAACAGTGGGGGCGAAGGGAGTCGATGGGGAAGCATTGGGAGGGAACGGAGTTACGGAGCCGCGGATCGCGTCAGTCGGGTGGCAACTGTGTCCGGATATGTTTGTCGCGTTGTCGGAGTGAGCTCAGCGAACGCGCGCGGGTGGTAGTTGGTGTCGGTAGTGACTGGCGGTGGTGGCGGCTGGTTGCACGACAGTTGCTGGCTCCTCGTTCTTCGCGAATTTCTCTTTCCCTCTCTTTCTTTCCGAAGAAGAAACGAACTGACAGTTGCGTGAACATGTGATTCTGACAAAGGGATTTGTCGTTTCTTACACGAGAATATCTTATATTTTTTCCGGTTTTTCCGTTCCACACGTTTGTCCACCGTTTCGCGTACGCGCGCGTGTGTGTGTGTGTGTGTGTATGCGTGTTTGTATAAGTGCGTACAGTGCGTACAACCCGGCTAGTGGTGGTTGGTTCGTTGTCTCTCGCGTCGTTCGCGTTCACGGGACACGCCGCGGGATAACGCTGGGATCGTCGGCCCCTCACGCGAAGGGGTAGTGTCACCCGCGAAGAGCAGGATATAATGTTCTGAGATTCGGGTGGCGGCACGCGAGAGAGCCACGCGCGCATCATCATGGTCGCTAAGCATTTCGCTTCGCAGGGTAAGTTTGTCTTTCGGAGCCGGTCGTTTCTCCCTTGCCTCTTTCGCAATCCCGGCCACTTTCGCAGAGCGGGTCCGTGCATCGCCCCCGCCCTGAGATCGCTACTTTCTAATGCAACGCGCGATAACGCGTATAATTTCCCGTTGCCGTCGCGACGCCTTTTCGTCGTTGAACCCCGTAGAGCGGGCGGTGGGTGCTCGACTGGGTGGTGCAGCTCGATCATAATAATAAACTCGCGTTGCGTGTACTTTCTACACTTTCCCACCCTTCGTAACTTCCTCTTTCTTTCAAAGATAATAGATAATATCGCATTTTCGGCGCGTATCCTTCTCGCAGCGCAAAACAATTCTGACAAGCAGATCGACATTAAACATACTGTTACATCTCTTTTTTTTTTATTAAAAAGTTGTTCATTGCATTTAAAATCGCGGCTTTTACAACTCCAATTTTCACGATTTTGTGTAGTCTTCTATAAAGATTTGAAAATAAATTATACGTCTTGATATTATTTCAAATCACATTGTATATATTTTATAAGTTACAAGTGCTTTTATGATTTTCTGAATGTGTAATAATAAGCAGCACATAAGCTGTTATAATCGGACAAAAGCAATTGCCGATTCTGTTTGCTTCGGTAGCGCGAAAGAGAGAAGAAACTAATAACGATGCAAAGTCGATTCGTCTCTGATGACTCGCGACGACCACCGACACTTCTCAGTTCCGCTCCTCCCTTTCGTTCGTTTTCGGCATACTGATCGAACGGGCGGGCGTCTCTCACTCGCACGCCACGAGCATTTTCCGCCGAGGTACGCCCGTTCACCGTGTGCGTTCGGCGAAGAAATACCTCTCCCTCGAGAATTTGTACAGCCGCGCTATGTAATTTACAATCGCGCGGTGAAAATTGCTGTTCATTATTAAGGTTTCGTCACTGGGAAAAGAAACCGTGCATTTTCAACTTCCTCTTTATAATCATTTCTCCGACCGCACACGAAAGGAGATACTTCGTTCCTAACTTTATTCGCTCCGCAAATGTGTTAAGTTTGTTTCACTTTCAGGAGAATAGTTTTTCGGTGGAAGTGTAAATGAGATAAAAGTACAATCGCGATGCATTCGTCTCGCGCTCAACGTAAATTAGTCGTA